CCCCCCCTCTCGACTTTTTTCACTTTGACGTTCCTTCCCTCTGTGAAGCCTGAAGTCAACTAAAGGGCTAATGATAATCATCAAATCGCCTGCCATTTGATATAAATAATAAATAATGATAATTTTAGTCATATTCAGGCCTAAGTTTTCTCCAAATTTAATTTTTGTGCAGGAAAAGAGCCACCTGCTTTTCAACCAGGTCGTTAAAGTTCATGATTTAATTTACCCTACCTAACTATATCCAGTGTAAACAGTGATGCGATCTTGGTTATCTTCAGTAGCTTTGATGAAAACAATATGGTTGACTAAATAAGTCAACACCCTTCGTATGCAGATATTCCACTTCCATATTTTAGCTTTCATAGTTTGCAATGAGATTAAATACCACCCAATTGTAACCACCTAGAACATTATCTAGATCGAAAGAAGTTGACTAAAATACCATATTTTGCCCATATGCAGAACTAAGTAATAATCTATTTTTAACTATATTACATGGTCATCGCAAAGGAATAGGATAATTTAATTAGTTCACAAATCGTACGATGTTATAAGAGAGGGTTTGTGATTGGGAAAATGTTGATTGAATTTAAAAGTAAGAGTACAAATAGAAAGGAAATCGAGCACATTACTTGTGCTTTATGAAATACCAAACATGTCCTCATTCCGATTATCATTAAGAAACACACTCGTAAGACGCTTGCACACTGACCACACATAACATCACGCTAGGAAGGTTGGGGACACAGTAACTTCATCTAAACTTCCGAGGCATCAGTGTATCGATGTTTTAATTGAACTGCTCAATTTGTTCACGCGGAATTTAGTAATCATTCAAAGGTAGCTATTTACTTATTAAGTGTAATTAAATTGTGCGTTTTTAGCCAACTGTATCATTTGAAATAAAGTAGTTACATTTAAAGCTATTTTACTGCTCTTAAATCTAATTTTTTGTCCCTTGAGTAGTTAAAACTGCTTTTTTAATCGTCTTTCGATGCACATTCAACCTGCTAAAGCATTAGGCAAGACACGACATCGACGAGTCTTCGAATTCTTAACATCCATGGCTCTGCCATACAACAACACAAATTGAGGATCAGGAACAGACCTACTCATTCAATGAATTTGGTAAAATAGTAGCCACTTTAGGTAATTTGTCCCTTATAGTCAGTTTTAGAATGCATTAAGTGATGAATTCCGTCTCTTGAAAGCAGTATACAGTACTCAGTATGAATTTACGGAGTTATACATATAGGTAGATTATTGATGATAACGGTGGCAATACGGCTCCAAAAACTTACATTAGAGTTGTAAATAATAGTTTTAGTTAAATTTCATGCAGTTTAATAACGTGGGTTAATCCGGTTACTTAAGCTATCAGTTTCATCTAATTGGCATTTCAGTCATCAGGTCAGGTGGTGTCTTGCTTCCACTCCCCACCCACATCGGTTAAAGTAACTAGACATATCCTCAAATCGCGCGAAAAGATGATGATTAGTTTGGGACCTGGTGAGGCCAGCAAAATAGAAAAAAAATGAGGGAAATGGAAAAAAAGAAATTTGGCAGAACACTAGGCAACCATCGGGGTCCTAAGTTACCAACTGAATGGACAGTAATTTTGGTGACTGCTACTCAAATTTAAGTAAGAGGATATTATTTATTTTCTGATCAACATGATACATACGCTTGACCCCCTGCTATAGGAGACTTGGATATTGGAGGTCAAGTAAACAAATTTCATAAGATGTCCAAACGACTGAAACCAACTGATGTCTAGCGTCAGAATATATGTGATGTGGAGTTTTAACAAGCCTGCATAAACAGAGAGTTTTAAGAAGGTTTTAGAGGGTTGTGAATCCCGAATTAACCTAATTTAACTAAAGCTGAATAAAAAAACTGATTAGACATCACAAGAAGTTGGATTGGAACAAAACTATTATGAGAAACGAATAAAAATAAAATAAAGACATTGCAACGGTGACTAAGTACTGACAAAGTTTGTGGGGAAGCATATGAGTATTTATGAGCAGGTCACGGTAAAAATAGCATGAAACTGAACCACAATTCAGTGACGGAGCCTACAGCCCTTCCTATAGCGCTCTTACAGCAAACATTAGCTTTCATCACTTGAGCTATTCAAAAATGCCAAAATAAGCTCATTATTTTACTAAATGAAAATTGGGTTAGAGATTTGCATGAAACTTAAAAAAGGCAAGTTTATTTTTTATTAGTAGCACAAGTTATTACGATGGCATTCAGGAGTGCAGAAAGAAAGTGAAACCAGCATTAAAGAAAATAGAATTTACCTGCGGGAACGAAGAGGTGAGTTTAAGTGAGCCTCAGTAATCATCTTTGACAGAATCTCCCTTTGATCAGAATAATGTTTCGCCATGTTCACCTTTTGTCGTAACTCTTCAGAAGCCACTTCCGCTGCCTCACGTACACGAGTGGATTGTCGCTTCAGATCCTTCATGAAGTTGTCTAGCAGAGGAAGTGATGATAGGTCTTTCTTATCATCTTTCAGAGCCTTCAAAGAGTCTTCACATTCCTCTAGCTGCGATAAGAAAATAAAGCGGTTCAATAAGTCGCTGAGAACTCTTAGGAGTTATAAGAAGTAGTATAAATACACACTTTATCAGTAGTTGAAATGATATCATTGAGGTTTCGATCTAGTGAATCTGGATCAAGCAATGTACCACCAGATCTTGAAATGTCAATTTTATCCTCAAGTTCATTTAATCGACGTTTTATTAGATCACCACGGGTAAGAAGATTGGAAATTGTTTTTTGATCAGCTTGGCCTCCTTCAATAGCACGTTTGATTGAGGATTCGAGACGTTTAGTACGTTTTTGTAGAGCTGATTCTTGTTGCTTAAGAGATTGAACGGACTGATCCGGGTTCCCATCTCCAAGTTTTGACAGCGTATCTTCGAGATCTTGAATTTTGGATGCGATAGGTGGGAACTCGTGATTGATAACATTCTGAAGTAGAGATTCTAGACGAATATTTGAACCAAGATCTTTTTGCAATTGAGATTCAAGGACACCAAGCATGACTTGTTGAGCTTGAATATCTGTTTCAATTGGTTCAGCTTTAGCTCTAATTTCCTGCAAAGCTTTCTGGCGAGGATAAAGGAAATAAATTAGAAACCCAAATGAGATAAGAAAAATTAAGAATATCATTTATTTACCAATTTATCAGCATGTCTACTTTCTACATCATTCAAGTGAGTCCGGCATCTGCTAAGTTCATCGGTAAGCTCGAGATTCTGCATATCTTTCACTTCTACACTAAGAGAATCAAGCTGTTTTCTTCGAGATTCCACCAGAGCTAAGAAGGTCTCAGCTCGCTGAACTGCTTTAGCAAGACTTGAAATTGTTGTAGGAAAGGTGCCACTTTCAAAGATTGGAGAGTCTGATGTTGTAGATTCCAAATCCAACCACGCCTGGAATGATACAATATAGATAAGCACAGTAGATGAAATAGTTTTATTAAGAAGAGTTAAACTCACTTGCAGAGCGGCGACTCGTTCCTTCACACTATCAAATTTAGCTGCCGAGGCGTCGTATTCTGACTCACTTTGGGAAAGAGTTTCGAATAGAGGCTTTTTAACTCCAGGGGTCAATGACTAAAAAGGTAGAAGGTCTGTTAGAAGGACAAATCAAACGCAATTAAAAGTGATCTGAACGTCGACAAACCTCTTTATTACTCTTCAGAGTATTGTCCGCGGATTCGGTCATATCTAGAATAGCTGATTTCGGGATTTCTTCAGATTCTTCAATAGACATTTCCTGTCCCCCTCTAAAATGAAACGCGAGAAGAATATTGTTAATTGTTCTAAAATTTATCTGAGGTAAGAAGTAGGAGTGCTGGATTTACTCTGTAACTTTATGGTTTTTTAAGGCTTCCTTTTCTGCTTTGTCAGCCATGGCATCTTGAAGAGTCTCCAAACGAGATTCAATTGCTCCCATCAAGCTATCAAAGCGTGATCGAGCGCTGCTGACATTAGAGGAGAGGTCTGAGGCATCAACACTTGCAGGCAGAGAATTCAGGAATTGACTCGCTGCTTCCTCGAATGTATGCATTGATGGCTCAGTTCGAATCAATCCGAAGTGTAGTGACAGAAGCTGTGGTTGAAAATGCATTAGATAAGATAAGAGATCATATAGACTAACTTTAAACACCTTACCTTTTGTAGTTGTTCTTTGGGTGAAGGTACCATAGACAGATTCTCAAAAGATCGAGAATGGTGATTGAGGTGATTATCAAGATCATTAAAGCATTGCTCAAGAGAAAGCGCCTGTGAGTAGGTATCAGCAAATTCGGAGGATCGTTCTTTGCATTTCGTATCAAGAGCTTTCCACTTCTTTTCAAGATCTGTCAAGTGATATCGAATGATATTTGAACCTTTTCCGACTCCTTTCTGAACCAACAATTCGGTGCCTAATTGTTTAAGGTCATCCATTCGAGGTGACATGGCTTCTAGCTCTCCTTTGAAACTGAAAAAAACAATATTATATTTACGGTCCTTAACGATAATTTAATATAATTGGGAAATTTTTGAAATACCTATCAACTTTTGCTTTCAATGCAAGAATCTCATGTGGATTGGTAGATTCAAGATGAATTTGAGAGACCTGAGCAAGACGCTGTGTTATCCAAGCATCAGCCTCTATATAGGCTTGGTTAAATGTCTGTAAGCGATTCAAAGCCATCGAAGCAGAAGACTGCATTTCAGTAACATGTTGCTTAAGTTTGTCATAGCGATTTTTCATTCCTTCGGCTTCTGTAAAAGAGGTATAATACAATTTCAATTTTAGAATGGTTAAACAGAAACAAATGATTGCCCTTACCTAGCATTAACTTGTCATCAGAAGGCTTCAAAAGGGCAGTTATAGCTTCTACCTCACCTCCCAATGAAAAACATTCAGATTCAATTATATCAAGTTCCTTTATCTGCTTATGAATCGATGCTTCATCCACAGCTGATCTGTCAGCAAAGATACCAGCATTCAGCCGTGTCTCAAGGCTTTGAATCCAGTCAATTAGTTTAGCTCGAGAGGCCTCGAATTGCTCCTGACGTGAGAAGCGCTCATTACACTCCTGCTGAGATTTGAGGATTAATTTTTCTAGTATAGCAAGATTTCCACGGACCACTGCTAACTTCTCTTTGGCAGCCTTGATATCACCTTCTCTGCCGAGTGCATTTGCTTCGCTCTCCAGTTTATTTATCGCATCTTCTAATTTTGTAACTTCTGCTTCTCTTTCTGCCTTCGTTGCCTATAAGTGACATAAGTGAGTGAGCCTTGAGGTAGACAAATGAATGAAAGCATTTATAAGCAATGAAAACGTACCTTCATCTCATCCAGCATTTTGTTACTTTCTTCTTTGCTTAATCGCCCAGACTCAAGAACATGCAAATTGGCTTTCGTCTGCTCCAAAATCGCATTTAAACCGGCCGATGCTTTATCTAGAAGAACGGAATCTTGATCGAGCTCGCTGAGCAAATCCTGATTAGAAGACAATTTCTGTTGTAAATCAGCACATCTAAAGTACAAAAAGAACAAATAGCAGACATAGCTATCGATATACATAAATGAAGATAATTAGCAGGTAAACTGAGCACACTTTTCCACAAGTTGTTGAGCCTGAACAAATTTTTGCTTTGCTTTTTCTATATCTTCTGAAGGTGCACCATTTTCTTTCAGTTGTCGGAGTTCTTCCTTAGCATCGCGGAGTGAGGACTCAAGCCCAAGTTCTCTCGCTGATAATTCAGCTTGCATTTTATCTCTCGCATGAAGAGCATCTGAAAGTGTAGACCCAGATTGATCCTTCACCCTTTCACTCGCAGCAGCGCCTTCTAGCCAGGCTGAAGTATCTTCCACAGCTTTTTTAGAAGAACCAAGCGTACCGAGTAGGGATTTCAACTCTCCTTCAATCGAATGCAGGTCTTTTTTAAGTGAAGAGAGGCGTAATTTCTCCGAGTCCAGAGGTTTATGTACACTTGAATCGATGGCTGAGGCAGATATTGAAACAATGGGAAGCAGGTTTTCTGCCAGGTTAGTCCTTTGGTCATCCAAATTCTGTAACAGAAACCACCAACATTTTACACAATTCATTAGCTGCAATGCGATATTATTTCAAAGTCACTTACCTCGAGAGTCTTAGTAAGTCTTGCTAGATCAGTATCCAAAGCAAACAGCAAAGCCGCTTGATCTCTCACAAGTATAGGATTCGTAATCAAGTCGGTATTCAGAGGAGCACGAGTGTTTGCATCTGAACGGGGATTAACATCAACACCCGCTGCAAGAAGCTTCCGAACAGTTTGCCAGAAGTTCTTTTCAGCTACATCAAGCGCATCATGAAAGCTCGTCAATCCTGTGGAGAATTCGTTGAAACCAGAAGCCGCTTCAGAATAGAGTGCTGACTGTTCCCTTGCCAACGCTGCCAAACTGTTGAACTTATCCCGAACCCAAGTAACAGCGGTATCCACGGAAGATATAACATTTTCAGATGAGGCTTGGAGATTAGGTATATCAGCTCCGACACTATTTGCGTATTCGTTCTGAGATAGAAATAGATGCAGGGAAACAATGAATTCAGAGTTAATGAAGATAAATATAATAGTAAGAAGATCACCTTAGTCGAATTGTATTTTTCTAACGAGGAAAGGAATTTTTGTGAGGGTGACGACACGCCCGCAAAATCGCCTTTTTTGATTATGAGTTCCCTCTCCAAGAGGATTAGCTGCTCTTGACAGGTAGAAAGATTTTCAGGCTGTGGGTCAGCGATGTTCAGGACGTTGTTTAACTGCTGTTGAGTAGTTGTTAACCATAACTTGGAGTCCTGTAATTCGAACGTCAGCTGTTCAAGATTGTCTAGACACGTTGTAAGTAGATGTATCCTAGAGGTGGTTTCTTGCATAAGCTAAACATAAAGGCGTATTTATTTAATAGTTTAAACAGGAATACAACAGCCATTCATAAAAAATCTTCGCATACCTTTCCAAATTTCGATTTGATCTCCTGTGATTTATCTTCCAACACTTTTCTCAAATTTGAAGGAATTGAATTACTGTCTTCTAAGACCAATTGCTCCGTTTTAGAACACAGAGCCAAACAGGATTGTTTATGGGATAAAAGGTCATTGTTGATTTCCTTAAAGGTAAGGGAAAAAACTTCTATTAAAAGTTGTTCATTATAAAAAAATAAGGTAGGCAATACTTACGTAGTAATGATCAAGTAGTTTTTGATTTTCATTGTCATTGAGGGATACAAAACTATCATTCAAAAGTCCCCCTTGCATTGAAGAAATCCAAGCTACTTCTGCCTCAAGTTCTTCAAGTAGTCCACTGCACAGTTTTGTATTATTTATCTAATCATCGAAAAAAATAACTTTTTTAAGAATTAGAAATTCAAACGAATCAGTGTCAAGCAAGTATAGCCAGGGACATGCTTGGATGAATAAATGGAGACAATAAAACAATGACAAGCTTCCTCGAAGGAAAAATTAGTGTTAGTAAGCATGCTTAAAGAATCCATCGGCAATAAAAGCGATTAAGCTGCGATTTAGTAGAGATAAAGACTGACAATTATATCATCCAAAGCGAAAGAAAGACAGCGGCACAGAGACAGATAACGAGTGGCAAAGCAAAAATGAATTAAAAAACGAGGGGATAGATAAATACCTCTGATCGCAGAGGAGCGATAGAAGGAGCTAGAACAAAGCTAAGTGGTCGAGATAGACGTTTGAGCATAGGAGAGGCCTCCTCTGTAATTGGAGAGAGATCCCCTAGCCCAGGTCGTTCAAACACAGATTGAGAGTAATGAATAGGTGAGGTTACACGGGGATGTTCTTCAGAGGGTTCTAGCAGACTACAAGAGGATGAACTTTCTATATCTTCAGGAGAGGATTCGTGACGTAAATGCTCTGCATTGATTAATGGAGAACCTGAAACAAATGCTGAAGGACTTCCAATAGAACTACGGAAATACGTCTCCTCGGATGAGTTAATATCCCCACCGTGAACATAATTTTGTCCCGAGAACATTTCAGGTGATCTGCATTTAATTGGGTCAGGAACATTGAAGCTTCTGAAGTTAGAAGGTCGGGAAGGAACTGATTCGCTTGAACTTAGATTTTTTAGCAATTCGCCGGTATCTAACCTCCTAAAAGTGGCCTTTTCAGTAACCAAACATTCCGAAACCTTCGAAAATGATCCGAAATCAGGTTCAAGATTCTTTAGTTCTTTACTAGAAACTTCGGCTGTTAACAATAGTGAGGCTTTTTCATTTTCATTACTGTCTTCCATAAATGATCCATTGTCTTTATTAGCAGCAGACGGATTTACATACATTTGTTTAGACTCATCTTTGTTACTTTTTCCGGGCATTCCATAATCTCTTTCTGAATCTTCATCCATACCTTGCTTTATTGCTCCAATCCTTTCATCTATCTTGCTTTCGTTCACAAAGTCTGTGTTAAAAATCTGTTCAGCCAACTCGGTTTCAGGTAAAATACAGTTTGCATATAGTTGTTTGGTGTTATCTAGTTCTCCTTTGGAAGCTAAATCTATATCATCTTCAACGCCAGCCCCAACTTCGGTTCCGGAACTTTGAACTATGATTGATGATGGAGGTACACTAGTTGGAGATCTGTTTGTAATTACTTCACTGCATCTTTCAAGATCTTCTCCAACTTGTTCTGGTGTTCTGGAATAATCATCCTTTTGAAGCAGACGTGAAACACTATCATCCGCAACTTTGATATCATTCTGAGTTTGAGTAATTTCTGGTCTCTCAGCTGGTAGTTGCCTACTGGATATCTCCATTGGACTTGCAGACTTTGTATTTGTCTTTTCAGATATTTCAACAACATTATCAACATCTGTAGTCGAAGTATCTTCAAATGGAAGGTCTCTTACTTTTGATATCTCCATTACGTAGCAAGATTGATTTTCCCCAAACGCAGACTTATTAGCAATCATTTCGTCGCCGGTTTCACCTAAGAGTACGGAGCTTTCCGATGCAATAGCAGAAATTTCCAAATCAAAAGGAACTTTGCCTTCAGACTCATCACGAACTTGGCAATCTCCTTTATATTTTTCAATCTCTTGCTTTTTATCATTAGTTATTACACTGGAGAGGTTATTACTATAGGTTTGATCAGCTGCATCTGCAGAGGCTATTATGCCACAGACGGATGTTGTCGCAGAGTCGATTTTGCAATCGTATTCACTTTCTCGTCCCATAATTTCGCCCACTTTGGACCCATCTGCGAATTCATCATTGCAGCTTCGACTAGACAGTGGGAACCTTTCAACCGACTCTGCAGAACTTTCGGAATCAATCGTAACTTTCCTTGATGACCCCAAGTAAACTCCCCCACCAGAATCGAAGTCGTCCGACCTCTCCAAAAATTTACCGATTTTCATAGCACCAGTTTCTTCAGATAAAGATGACGATGAACGAAGTGTAGTCTCATCTGAAGTATTTTTCACAGTAGATTTCTCCGACTCTACATCCAAAGGGGATTCTGAAGAAACGGGCCCACCATTTTGGACTTTTCCTTCTCCATATTCAGGAACTCTATCCACTTTTAAACTTCCTTTCGAAAAATTAGTAAATTCTTCAATGGAACCTTTATCCGTTAGCATGAAAGTTTCGTTCAGTTTGCCTTCTCCCTCGCCTTGTTTGCATATATCGGAGCCAGTTTCACATTTTCTATTAGCTTCCGACCCCTTTGGTGTGTTTATATCTTTTCCGACTTCGACCGTTGGATCTTCAGAGCCTCTGTTAGCTGAGAGCTGTGAGTCATCTACACCCACCGTTGCCTGATCTGCTACTCTTCGAACTTCATCAACTTTTTCTGAGAGGTAATCTTTAACTCCTTGTTTGTTCATTTCATCACCATTAGCAGAGAATTCAATAACACTTTTTTCTTTAAGATCATCTTTATTGTGCTCAGGAGCTCTGTTACTCGATGTGTCTTTGCTCATTCCTGGAAGATTGGAACTGGTGATATTCAAAGAGTCCATCTGGTCCAGAGTGGACTCATTATCTCTTGGTTGAGTCAAGGATTTGCTCTGGAGTTTATCCCCGCAAGGTTCACTTAGTTGGCCTTTAAGAAAATCACCCTCTTCACACCCTATGATTTTATTACCATCCTTTTCATCCACTCTGAGTGAAATCTTACCCGAGCCCTTTTTGCCGTCTTCTTCGATTTCACCAAAATGCAAATTACTTTTATCAGTGGGCCCAGATTTTGAAATTTCATGTAATTTGCCATTTTTACTATTTTCACTTTGCATAACTGCTTTACAGCCGATTTCCTTTTGTGAGGATTTAATATGTGTTTTAAGTGGAAAACTGGAAGTCTCATCACTTAACCCCTCCGCACTTGATGCATATACTGGGCAAGTCTCCTTTGTTGAAATACTATCAGAATCATTATCTTCAGAAGCTGTTTTAAATTTGGATTCGGCTTTTTTGGAACAAAACAAACCAGAAGCACCTTCAATCCTTTCAACTTCAAATGCATTCTCTTCACACTCTATTTCTCCTTCAACAACTTCTCTCTTGATTTCATCAGCAGCACTCCTTGTTAGATCTTCTCTAATTTTCTCTTCATTAGTGCCAGATCGTAAATTATCAGATTTGTCCGTTTGGTTTTCTCTAGTATGTTCTGTAAGTCTTGAGTCTGATGACTCTTTGCGAACTTTGTCATCATCAGACTCCATGCTATTAAGAAGACCAATTTCATCTACTAATTCTACTTCATCCACATCCCTGAAATGATCCGGTAGTTGAGAGAACTCACTATTTGCACCCCCCTCTTTACAACGCTCGCCTGAATCCTGAGATCCGAAAGAGATAAGCGCGGATTTACTGACGAAGTCTTCAGTACAAGACACATCAGTTATTTCCAGAAGAGCAGGACTTGGTAATTCAGCATTCGTAAGTTTATTATTAAATTTTCTTGGGAAATCATTTTCCAAACTAAATCCTTCAATACCATTTTCATCAGCCCTCTTGATAGGTTCAAGGTTAACCATGTCTTTGTTCTCATCATTCCCAGAATCTAGGGGTTGGAAACCTTCAGGTTCGTAAGCATTTCCGCTCGACTGATCCTGGCTTAATTTGGGAGGATACGACTCAGTAACAATTCGGGTATCCATTTGGTCAATAAGACTTTCCTGAGATCCCTTTCGATTTTCGTCGTTGAAACACCTTGTCCGTCGAGTGGATCTTTCCCATGCCACTTCATTTTTATCATGTCTGCCATCTGTACTTGTAGAAACAACAGTATTTTCTGTCTTGGCCGAAGAGCTTACATTATCGCCTTCATCTCCCTTAACACTAGGTTTTGTTGAATTCTTTCCTATACTAACCGAAGTTCCCACACTCTCTTTATCATTGTCTGACTCATGACTTTCTTCTGGTGAACCTATTTCAGAAAATACATCCAATTTATCATACTCCTCATTAACTTTCTTTGAATTCGAAGGTTCTTTACTGTGGATGACCATATTTGGTGAGGTTTCTTTTGCTACGAGTCGATCTTGACAAGACCTGTTAACAAGCTCCGCTAAAAATTCTTCAGCATCAGTTTTGAATGAAGGATTGGATCTATTTTTCATGTTTAGTTCACCTGCGACTGATGAATATTCGCTTCCATGACCTTCAAAGCCAGAGCGAGAGAAATTAGTGTTTATGACACCTGAGGAAGTAGTAAATTCACTGAAATCTTCAAGCTTTCTAGGTTTTGAATCCGTATATTCGCTTTCACTACTGAGAAGGAAAACATCTGATGTACTGGTGGCTTCAGGATTGGTTGATTGCAATACTGCTTTGTCCGATACACTGTCTGTACAAATTTGTTCAGATGAAGGTATGGCTATGTCTACTGCGGACTTAGAAGGCCTTTCATTTTCTCCTCTGTCCCGATAGTCTGAGAGCCCCTTAAGAGCATCCTCCGCAATTCTCTCACCGAAAGAGCTTTGCGGTTTAAATTCATCAGAGATCTCTACGTCATGAGAAATGTCATTCGAGTCATTGTCAAAGTCGTCATAGTTCTCAGCTTCTAGGGCTGATTTGAAATCGTTGATGATTTTTCTGCCTGTAGTATCATGAGATTTTACAAATGGCTTGCAGACAATTTTTTCTTGAAAAATTTTACCAACTGCTCCTCTTGTAAAGTTTGAAGACTCTGGCATCATGCAAGGTTCGATTACAGAATGGCGAGATGACGAAATATCACCTACAGTGTCGACTTGCCGATTATCAAGTTCTGGTGTTTGTGCAGAAACTTCGCTTAATTCATCTTCACTAAACTTGTGATCTACATTGAGAGTCGGATCGGCCATTCCATTTTCTTTACCATCATTTTGATCCAACTCTATGAATGAGCTCCATCTAGCATTCATTCTTCCAGCATGCTTATTTTGTTCCTGAAGTTCTGCTTGGGCCTCTGATGCTAGATCAGTTGATTTGCCATGCTTATCCGATATCCTTGTGACCAAAATAGTAGAGAAATCAGAACTCTCTGCTTGTTGAACAGATCCCATATTCGATTCATATGATACTTCCATTGCATTATTTGACGGTTTTTTAACTTCTTCCACAACTGTATCACCTCTCATTGCAGATAGAACATCGGCTGGATCATGACAACATTTGTCTCCATACAACTTTTGTTCCCCCTTGCCCGTGAATGTAAGAGTTTCACAAGTGGAATGACCAAGGGTTAGGCTAGATTCATCTTCAGGTAAGGCTTGAAATAGATCATCGACCCCTCCTTTTATGCTATTCTCTTCGAGCCCTGACTCTTCCGTAGTGGTTCTTCGAATAGCTGGTTCATGAAGAATAAAATCCGTTGTCCCTACACTTACTTCACCTACTTTATTGAACCTTTCGAATGAGGATAGTTCAGCATCTTTATCTATTTTGCACTGATGTTGTTGCTGGAGCTCGGACTGAGCTTTTGACATCAAGACACTATCCGTCTTTTCCGTTGTTTTTAGGACAGAGCGTGCAGAAGAGTCCTCATTTTCCGCCTGTTGAGAAGATTTCCAAGGCAGATCATCGATAAATCCTGCTCCAACACGATCATTCGAGTTGTCGGAATTTAGAGATGTTTTTGGCAGGGAAATTTTTGAGAAATCTACGTTACCTATTTGCTCAGAGGATCTTATTTTCGAGTCACTGTCGATGTCTGACGTATTTTTCATTTCTGAAAGCTTTTCTTCAGAGAATTTTTCCTTTATTTCCCTTCTATCCTCACTTCGTAACTCTTGCCCCAGTTTAGCCTTGTGAGCAGGTTCTTCTGTTTCAGACTGGCCAGCGATTCCAGGTATTCCACTTCCAAACACCACACTAGATTCGCTTGCATATAGACCATGTGGCAGATGCTTTCTGACATCCTCACATTCCCTTGTGGTATTTTCCATAGTAATTTGATCTTTATTTCTAGGAGTTTCTTCATCTATTAGTTCAGTTTTCATATATCCAGTGTACTCATCTTGTTGTTCATTGTCTTCAAGAGAATCAATTAAAACGTTAGCGGGTTTGAAATCCTCTTCAAGATTTTTGGGCTTTAAAGCCATATAGGTAGCTTCATTATCTGGAGAAGGAGTAGACAGCATAATAGATTCTGAGAAATTTTCTGGCCAGGAAGTATTTTTTCGACTTAAATTCTCCACTTCAGGTATTTCTGAACTGACTTTTGGATCTTTTACGATCCACAATTTTGATTTTTCTGCTGTTTCATCGTCATCAAGCTCACCTTTTTGCAAATCTTGTCCTAAATGCAATCTGTAAGTGAGCTCATCGTTACAAGAACGATCAGTAATGCCGAAGGGTTCAGGGCTTTCAGAAGTGGCTAGACCAGAACTGCTAGTACGGTCTGAGAATTTGCCATCCTTCACTACGTTACCAACTTTTTCACAACAAACTGAAGATTTTCCCCTCACGTCATCAGGGGTACAATGTAACAATACACCTGATTGAGAATGATCATAGTCCGACTCTTTCTTTCTCTCTGAATCAGTGTGGGTTCTAGTTTCATCATCAAAGATTTCGCCACTCATCGTCTTGCGGGAAGTGTCAGAACCTTGTTCGTTACCGGTTACTTCTTTGTCGGCATTAAATCTATTACTCAAATCGAATTGACTCACACAAGCGAATTCATTATCAGAATTTTGACTGTCGATTCCAACTATAGTTTCATTTTCAATATCAGAATTTTCCGAAATAAGTGAAGTTGGAGTGTCCTTAAATTCTACATGTTCATAGGGTTTAGCAGCGAATACGTGTTCGTCATCTTGAACAATTAAAATCATTCCACTGGGAATTGGTGCTTTCACTTCACCTTTTTCACCTCTCACGTTTCTCATATCTGGGATTTGTGGAGGCTTTGAAGAAAGATCCTCAACTTTTCTTGAAAGTTTATCAATACAAAACAGTCCACCTACTGTAGGCATTATTTTATCTGACTTTTCGCTTTCTTCGTCCGTGGCTGACTTATAATAATCTTTATATAAATCTTCTTTACTGACCTCATGAACAGGATACTCGCTCTCTTCGGATAGTTTTGTGCTAGAATCAATTGTTTCACACCTTCCTAATGATTCTATTGAAACAAAATTAGACTTCTCTCGAGTTCCCACGCAATTTTCTATCAAGCCATTCTTATCATCTTCGTTTAAACGTTCTTTCATTTTTTCCGGCGTTTTAGATTTTGATGTCTTAGACTTGATATCGTACACATCAGTACAACTGTGATCAGTTAGTTCAATCAGCAAGTCTCCTCTTGATGAAAGTTCTGCTTCTTCTTTGCCTGTTTCATCGACCTCCTTGCCAATGTAACCGTTATCTTCACCAACAGTTTTTTCTAAGGTACTTACCGGCTCAACAATATGAGAAGATATAATGTCTACACTCTGAATATCATGAATTTTACGAGAACATTCAGAGAATTTTTCTTCAAGTTTATCAGTTAGAACATCCGTCGACTGTTCCATAGGTATGGTATCTTCAACAGAATGATAGTCCGCACCAGATCGCGCATCAGTTCTCAGTAGACTTCCACTATTTATACTAGAAATATTATCTTCAAACCCATCTGTAATGTCAAATTCATGAGGTTTCATGACCATAACTGTTGACTCGGTTTCCGCATTGAGTGTCGCGATTTCGATGGTCGTTAAACTGCCACCCTTTCCAATCCTTGGTTCATCACTCTGTTCATGCATTGACATTAAAAATGACGTCTCAGAACTTTGACTTGTAATGTCTGGAACATCTTCAGTGCCTGATCGAACTTCATAATCCCGTTTCGGCAAATTATACTGTTCATAAGCACACTCTTTATCAGAATCTGACTGTTTAGAGGCATCAATTTTGTCCATAGAATCTTCTGAAGGTATTGCATTAATTCCTCCACTTGATGAACGCAATTCGTCATGATCTGAACTCTCCATATTGACAGAAGCTTTCTCTGTTTCGTACATAGATAACTTCACAGGGATCATGGAGTGTAAATCGCTGGAAATACCGGATTTAGAATTAGCTTCACTTGGATCTGAATAGGAGGCTTTGCCATTCGAAAAATTTTGTGAATCCTTAGCAATTACCTCTTCTTTGTTCCGTGAATTTTTGGATTTTTGACAGCTAGGTAAACTAGAAAGGTGATAAATATTATCAACTGCTCCTTCTCCAGGTACAGAAATATCTTCATTGATTGAATCCTTGTTACTATCACCTATTTGATGGATCGCGGAGATAGTAGGTTGACATGGATGAGCTACTGAAGTGGTAACACCTTTCATTCCTGGATAACTTTCATAACTTGGTTCTACGTTGTCGGCATATTTGGTGATTTCGACTACACCTGTTATTCTATCGTTTTCAAGTTTGCTAAATGGAATGGAAGATATAGTAGCACCTTCATTTTTATAGAATTCTGCAATCTCATCTGACCCATGATTCTCTGCTTTGGGATCCAATCTTGATGCCCTGTCTCCAAATCCAGTCAAATCGTAGTCGCCATTACCCATATCTGATACACTTGATTCATCCGTCGATTTTGAAGAAAAAGGCTCAGTGTGGCTTGCGGGTTCTTCAGTACAAGGCATTCTAGGAATTTCATCAGTAACAGGTTTACTCGAGTCAGATATACTTTGTAACTTTAGAAACGATGAATCAACTTCACACATATTTTCTTCACCAGTGGGAGACTTGGTTCCAATGAAGCTGCTGCCTGCAAGGCAGTCTCGACAAGTTTGTTCATTACATTCCTGTTTACTACCGATTTTCATATCTTTATCTTTATTGATATTGAGTGAATTTGTTACTTGTGTAACATCTAACTTTAATGCATCTATACTACTACCAGATAATAGGTTCGAAGATCTGATTTCCTTCGATTGCAAAGACTCTAGAACAGCCATGTTAGAGACTGAATCATCAGAGTCTTCTTTGGAAGCTGTAACGCCAACGCTAGGAAGTTTCACTTCAGTTGCAATCGCAAAATCTTGGGGGGAAATTTGGGCAAGTCTTGCACTCAATTCCACACTTGGTCTATTCACTGTCTTATCTAAATCAGAGCTCTTTATTTCCGACACTTCATAACTTGTAGTTCTGTGGCCTTTCGCGTAATCGCTGCCTGGAATAGGAACTTCAGATTTAAATTCTTCTTTCCCAATATTTGATGCTTCGGGAATATTGATACTTCTAACGACTGGTTCATCCAACGCATGTGAATAAGTAAGATCAAGCGGCTTGTCCGATTCCTCAATAGAACTATTGTTTTTTTCATCAATTTCAGAGACACCTCTTCCTATTTTTAAACGGACGGTAGTGCCAGTATCTTGAGGATATACAGGTTCAGAATTAAGTTCACTATGAATATCAGTTGTTTCAGCAAATTCAGCGGCACAAGTCGTACTAGGAACTCTGATTCCATTAACTGTAATGCCTACATCTTCTTTTCCCAGCATTGCTAACCCATCTTCCCCATCACCTTCGTCCAAGTCAGAATTGTCAACGTACAGTGTTTCTTCGCTGCTTGAACATTCCATTTTGGGCTTAATTGCTCCATCTCCAGCAAATTTACCTTCCCCATTAGCATCACTCAGTAACAATGAATCTTCCATATTTTCCATAGCAGAGAAGTACTCAGTATCCGAAGAGGGACCAATTGACAATGCGTTGCTTCCACTAATATCCTCCCTTGCTGAGAAGTAGGGATCATTATCTGTCCTTGAAGTAACACTTTTAGCTTCTAAATTCGTCTCCGACGTGGAAGAACTGATAAATTTAGGAGTAACTAACCCCTTTGATTGTGGTTGAATAGTAGAAAGACTTGACGACTTTGGTACTGAGAGCTTTTCAAGGGACATTGTAAGGTGAGGATTTATTACAATTAAGCCGCTATCAGTAGCCCATAAGCTTTTATCTGGCTGTTGAGTAACAGGGACAGAGGTTTCTCGTTCTTTGCCTAAAGCACTTTCAACAAGTGGATGCTGAATAAGTGAAGCTGGAGTCTCTTCATGTTCTTGTTCGTTTATCCTTGAGCCAGCAACATCAGTTGCTTCATCTAAAGCTACTTCAGCAAATGGTTTTGTTTCATAAGTTTCTGAACTCTTCGTGGTCCCCTCTAATGGCGTAGTGTCTGAGGTTGTAGGATGAGACTTTTTATCTACTTCCGGAGAGAAAATTTCAGTATTTTCAGATTGCCCTGCAGTTCTAGAATCACCAATTACAAGAGATTTCGAATTTTCTGACAAAACCTTCCCATCTTCTTGATTGTATTTTCCTGAATCACAAAGAATAGATGCATCATCAGCAACGATTTCAGTAGATGTTTCTGTTTTAAAAATATCCTCGGATACTATAGCATCATTTGAAGAAGAAAAGCGCTTATACTTCGTTTCTGGAACAAAATCTTCAAAATGCTTACATTGTTCTGGAATGCCTAAATTACCAATATTAAGAGTTTTGGGGGGTATTATTGGAGCCTCTACATGGTCATGGTCATCTTTTCTTGAATCACCAACAACAGACGATTCGTCCCGGAAAATTTTAACAGGAATTTCCGATTCAGAAACACCAAAATTCTTCGGAGTCATTTCTAATGGTTTAGCCCCTGTTTCACAAACAGAAGCTCCAGAAGTCTTTGGTTCTTCTGCAATTCCGGATTCCTCGATTTCAGCAGAGTTTGAAGTTTTTCTACCACCAGAAGTTGTCATATCATCATCTAGGAGTTCAGTCAATTTCAATTCATTTTGTGAATCATCAACAAGGAACTTTTCTTGCCTTTCAATACCCAGCTTGGCAAGGTCTTGGCCGTAATCAACGGCCTCGCTATGTTTCGGCATTTCAGGCTCTGAAAAACTATTATTTACTTTCGATCCTTCCGCCGTTAATTGCATTTGATGCAATTGCTCATTTTCTTGTTTCACGTAACTCTCTATTTCTTCATTATTTTCAACCGATTCAGCAGTTATGGAAGTTTCGCTAGTATACTTGGGACTATCTTCAATCTGTGAACTTTTCGATTCAGTAGATTTCAACGATGCTGACATTGGTTCACTTTGCGAGCCATCAACCAGAAATCTTTCTTGCCTCTCAACCCCCAGCTTATCAGTCAAATTGATGCTCAATGCTTCAGCTTCTGATTTACAACTTTCTGAATTAGATTTATCATCTTGTAGCTTTTCAATTCTTTCTCGTAAGGGACTTCCTGAATTTCTATTGCATTCAAGGGGGGTTAAACGATTCCCTTCAAAAAAGTCAGGTTTAAATGACAACATTGCAGCTGTTCCATCTGACACAACTAAAGATTGTTCCCCTTGTTCAGATATGTACTCTGGAGATGCTACATTCTCTAGGCCTGCTAAAGAAAACCCATGAGGTTTAGACTTGCAATTTTCTGGAAATTCGGATTCATTTTTGTATAGCACGATTTCTTCATCTGGATGAGAAGAAGCAGTGATGGACTCGCTTGATAAATCAATTGAAGTGTCGTCGGCATTCATAGTTTCTTCCATTGGTTCTATTTTAATAGATGGAAAAGACGAGGACTCATTTTCGATAGGATTGTTTGTAACTCCATCAAGGCTTTCATTAATTACTAATTCGGATAGAACTGGCACCTCATAATTCGTGTAAGAATTTGAAGTTAACTGATGTGACGGATCTAACAATCCACTTTCAAGTTCATTTTGGTTTATAACATCGTAATCGTTTCCTGTCGATCCAATGCCAGAAAGTCCAGAAGATTCTCCCATTCTCTCTGACAAACCTAGCTCAGCATCAAAATATTTCTTTGAATGAAGTGAATCGTTAATGATGTTATTGTCGCAACATCCTCCTGGAGTAGTCCTTTGTCCAGATATTTGGGGTTCATAGGGAATATCTACTGATTTTGAGTCTTCGTCTAATGCAAGTAGACAATTCTTAATATCAGAAAGGTATCGGTTCTTTGACACTTGTTCAGATGTCACAGCCGTAGTTTCGTCGAGTGCTGATTTGGAAGTAGTGTCATCTACACCTTGAGTCGTTGGAAATTTCAAACATACTGGTGAACCAGGCTCCAAATTGAATCCACCATACTCTTCATTTTCAGCAGTCTTAGTACCAAATAGTGGTAATTTTTCTGTGTCTAAAGATGGTACAGTCGAGGAAACTTGAGCTAAAGACAGTTTTGTCTTAATGCCAAAATCGGCTGGAAAATGGAATTCAGTCTGATCATCATTTTCAAGATTGTTTGCAGTGTACTCTCCGTCATGTGATGAAGGAAGTTCTGGCCCAGGTTTATCGGCACTCGAAACTAATGAGACATTTTTTAATGACTCCAGTGGCTTCTCTTTATCGCTACGAAGTTCAGTTTTACATTCAACTTCCCATGGTTCTGATATCAACTTCACTTCCGATGCTTTAGCCATCGTTTTAACGTCTGCAACTGAAACAGAAACTGATGGTTTTTGTTTGAGTGATTCATCTTGAGATCTTTCATCTGAAGAAACGTTTTTATCTTCACTTGGGATTATTGCCAGCTTGGATTTATCTGAGTTTTGATTATTCGAGGTCATATCAATGTCAGAGATTTGCGCGTTTTCAGACAAAGCCAATTTTCTGGCGTCTGTTTCTGCAATATTTGGTAGACGATTTGCCGAAACAAGGAAGTGAGCATGGTCAACTTCATTCTTGAACGTACTTTGTGAATCTTCAAATGAATTCACTGGCTTAGGTGGTCCTATATCATAATGAGCAGCATTCGAATTGTCACTGAAAATGATTGGCGCATTCCCATTTTCTTCTTTCTTGGCTGGCATTTCTTCCGATATATCGTATCTATCAAGGTCTCGCAAAGAACTAAACGCTCCGTTTTCTTGAACACTTTCCAAAGAACATTCATTTTTCGTAGATTCAATATCTAGCCGAGGATCAGAAATACTAACCACTGCTTCGTGCCCATTGCAGGGTTCGCTCATAGCAGATTGTATATCTTCCGCTTCATGTGTTCGAGATTCCAGATATCCATTGTCTGTCGCATCAGGGCTAGTTTTTAAGGTTTGATGATTTTTCATAGGAAGGCCGCTATTTGGCATAGAAGATTCATGGTCCTTATATGGATCTGAGTAAATTAATGATTGAGCATCTATCGATTCAGGAACGTTTTCTAGACCAATGCCAGTAGTAGCAGTTTGAATACCGAGTTGATTGTCCTTGAAGGTGACTGTCTCGTTGATATCGGAAACTATTGGTTCATCAACTTTCAATTTTTTGAACGTTAGTTCTTCAACACTAGGCGTTATCAAAATTTTGCCTATTGATGGGGGATACTCCACTTGACATCTCGTGCTTAAATCGTCCTCTTGGAGTGATATTTGTTCTTTGGTAAAAACAGGCTTATCTGGATTGTCAGAGAGATCGATTTTCCTGTTAGACTCCATCCTATCCATCTCTTTCATTGACTGCGAAGGATACTCAATCATCTGAGACTCGTGATCGATCCTTGGATCAGAATAGACCACCATTTCGTAGTCACTATTTAGTGCGCTTTTATCGGAGCCTGTTGAAACAGACTTCATCGCTTCAGCAGTGGCATCAATATGTGACCCATTTTCTTGATCTTGGTTTAAGTTAGTTCGAAGTTTACTATTTTCAGAAGGGCATTTTGTAAATTCATCATCTGTCCCTGATGATTTAGAGTAACCCAAGACATTATCGTCTGATTTATCAATAAGCTCTCTCGTCTCAGGTTTCGAAATGGAGTGTTCGGTCCCAGTTTCTAGATAAGCATCACATTTAGCCAAAGAATTATCTTTCTTTCCTTCCGAATCTTCAGGCATTGAAACTTTCAGGCTGTCAATTGAATGAGGATTTACTTTGGCATCCGTTATTCGTATAATGTCACTGACATCAGTTGACTCACATTGAACTCCTGGATTATTAAATTCAGAGAGCAGATCCGACTTTATTATCCCATTGAAAACTCCATGTTCAGGAGATGAAGAACCACTGACTTTAACTTGTTGATCTTCTGTTCTGGCACAATATTCCTTCTGGTTAGTCGACCCATTTGAATCAGATATTTCTCGAACAACAATTGCTTCAGGGCTTTCTCTATACGAAATTTTTTCATCTTCCTTCGAAATCGAAACGTTAGTTTGAGTAGGAATCTCTGTCAACGTAGTACTTCCAATCGCTATCGTTTTACTTTCCTCATCATTTCTTCTAGTTTTTTCTACTAATAAATATTCCAGAAGCTGAGAGTCGTGGTCTAAGCATGAATCTAGCTGGGATACAATCTCATAATCACTATCATTTCTTTTAAATGAATCTCTTAGTTCGTCAGGTTGGTGTTCGATTTCATGCTTGTAATCATCTCCTCGTTCCATTATATCACCGCTCAGAGCTTTCTCCAATGTCAAATCATCAATTTCATCCTTATTTAGTATTAGTGACTCTGAAGCCTCCGAACATTCTACCAGAGAGGGTTTTATTTCATCAGTTGTGCAGAGAACGTCTTGATATACAGATCGGTGACCATGTTTAGAGATAGCTGATTGATCAGTTAATGAAAAAGCATCCTCCACCTGATTAGAGAAATCCAACGCCGAAGGACTGCCACCAGGAAGCACAGATTTCTTCACAAGGTTTTCAGGAGACTTCGTTGATACAGATTCAGATTGTTCCAGTGTATTTTTATCAGATTCTAGAACAACCTCATCCTCAGATGGCTCTATAACTACTTGATCAGATTTTGCTTGGTCGTATTTATCGAAAGTTATTTTTGTTTGTTCAGAGATTGTTGATTCCCCAAGATTTTCTCCACCAGAAAAAGGGAATATGAAATCAATGCCTCCTAAGAGTTCTGGAATTGGTTGCGATTTATTCTCCCTTGGACCTAATTGACTTTTCTTATTAGAAATATCGCCCGCGTCTTCTCCAGGATGACTTGCTGCTGATTTTGATTCCACTAATGATTGCTCGAATACACAATCATCAATAGATTTCATCGTTTCATCTTCTTGGAACCACCCAGAACTATCGTTTCCTTCGCCAGTTTCCAAGTCACTCCGATGCTCTGAAGAAGAAATCATATCTATGTTTTCAATATAAGCTTCTTTGTCAAGCTCCACCATTTCTACAGTGGTGTCATCTGAGCTAGCATCGTCGAAATATCCAGATCCAGTTTGTATAATTTCGTCTGATTTTGCGGATGATATCAAATCTGTTTCGTTTTCTCGTATCTTTGGAAAATCCTCATCCCATTCCTGTGATTGGGATTCCTTTTCAAGATGAGGGAATCCAACCTCAGTACTATACATATCCTCTAATAAAGCATTGTTAGGTTTTAGAGATGGCATTTCATTCAACTCTTCATCAGTTTGGTCGAAGATGAGAGCAGAACCAGCTCCTCCTACGCTACTAAGACGCCAGGCTTTCTTGAGAGGTGACGCTGCTGAATGTTCACTTGCAGAGACCATTATATAATCGTCATCTATTAGAGGATTTCCTGGGATAATTACGCCATTTTCAGAATTTGGTTCTAATATAGGGAATTTTTCTTCTTCAACATTAACCACCTGTTTTTCTGTTACCTCTATAGAAGTTCGTCCTGATATATAATTAACTGATTCATAAATTTCAGTATCATCTGTCGAATCATTACTATCTTTTAAAACAGTAACATCCGAGAAGCTATTCAGAATCGAGGACTCAAGTTCAGAGCTCATTTGATCGTCTTGTGGTGCAGTGGACCCTTTGAACAGTGTCTGAGATTGAATGCCACTTCCAGAGGGTGGGTAAAGATCCATTTCTCTGGATTTCCGTAATGATTTTTCAATTTCATTTTCTGATTGGTTGATCTGCTTACCATCTTTCTCAGATTCGCTTTTTGATAGGAACACTTCTCTAGCTTTCTCACCTCTTAGAACACTTTCCCGTGTATGGCCTTCACCCATTGACCGAACATCCATAGTTGGAATAATTTCAAATGGGGACTAAAGATTGGTATACCATTTTGCAATTGAATATGATTTGAAAATAAAATAAAATCACAAAGCAAGCATAATAAAATAGGGACAAAAGCGAAAGAAAGAGAGCAAGTGAGCAAATACATTTGTTACAAACAAAATACCATGGAGATGGTGGGTTATTTGGGTAAGGAAGAGGCAAAAAAACAACGGTTAGTTAAGAAACATTAACATCTGAGCAAAAGATGCATTAAATTCCAGTCAGAGAATCTAAATTTTAGGATATACTTCATAAGGACTTACCGAATCCCATTGTGTTCTAGAAATCTCGTTATCAGCAGTAAGATCATCACCTTGAGTTCCTTCCTTACTAGGCAGACGTCTGGGTTTCACCAACTCTGAATTTTCGGCCTCATTGTTTCCAGATTCTGCTTGATTTTGCTCCTTTAAAGTTGTGTCATCACTTTGTTGAGAAGATTTTGAACCATGTTTTTCCAAACCGTGAGATTCAGGGGTTTTAGAAACAGAGAAAGTTTTGGGGCTGTGAAACTGTGTCCGTTGTCCCTCTAAGACATCTATTGTTTTTGGTTCTAGTGATTCACCAGTTTCTTTTTCGGTTTTTAGATTGTGTCCAGGGGCTACAATGGGTTCTTGCTGCACAGCGGAAGCTTTACCAATTTTTTCTACTGCGGCATTATAAGCCATTACTCCAGCGATTACTGGCGCTCCGAGTGTTGCTGCTAAAGCCTTACCAACACCGGATAATATTGGTCTGACAACAGAACCCGTTCCATTGGTGGGCGGCGTCTGTTCCGTTTGATTTTCATCGCTTCCCACTGTTTTACCGATGCTGATTTCAGAGGGCACATATTTTCCCTGGTCTATAGAAGATTCAAAGCACTTTTTACCTTCTGCAAGTCCAGGCGAGTCAGGAGTTTCTTTCTCGACATTAAAAGCATTAATACTTTCTTCGTTTGCACTCAAGGAAGTTGGAATCTTCTTGTTTTGGTCTTTAAATGATAACTGATAAGATTCATCAATCCCTGACATCGTAGGATCCTGGACAGGTATTTTCAATTCAGGAGAGAATTTATCTTGATCAATCGTGTCAATCAATGATCTATCATTAGGAACAACTTCGAGATTCAAGTGCTGTGACTCCCTAGTTGAATTGCTCCCAGGTGATATAATAACATTCTCAACCAGTTTTTCTTCGACTACTTCTTTTGAAGGTGTTCTTTCACTGGGATACTTCTCAGAAGTCTCTTTCTTCTTTTCTAACTCTGGCTTCGGCAAAGATCGCTCACTTTCAGTGGAAATAACAGAATTATTTTTACCACCCATACCACCTGAATTGGGAGGGTATGCATTCCACTGATCGTCATCGAAAGACCGTTTAACAGCAGCAGAACATTGTGTTTCTTCAGTTGAGCTTCTTCTAGCGCCTGGTCTTTGATTAAATACTTCTTTTGACACTGCTTCCTCAGCTGGAGTCTCACCAGACCAATCTTTATCTTCTTTGAGTTCATAATCCGAATTGGGAGAATTTGACAAAAACTGTCTCTGTGCTAACTTTTCTGCTTTATATTGCGGAGGTTTAGAGCCCTTGTAAATAGGGTCTTTCTCTTGACTGCTGGTCCACTTTAAATCTGGATCAAGTTGTTCAATCTTGCTGTCATTCGTTTCCTCAGAACCTGGCACCGGAGAATTCAGTGACTGTTGACCAAACACAATTTTACTATTATCGTCCTTATCCATCACTGAAAATGTACCTTTTCCAGGACTAAGTTCTGAATTATGGCGAATGGATGATTGCGGAAATCGAGTATGCGTTCCATTGATATCGATATCCATTTGCTCCCCAATTTTAGAGTCATAGTGTGATTGTGATTGAGATGACCCAACAGATTTCTTGATACTTTCAGTTGGTCTGGAAGCAGCTGCAGCATCGCTGTCCACCTGTCCTGAAGAAAATGTCCTTTCTCTAACACCAATCTCTCCATGATCAGATGATTGAATGTCTTCTTGCGAATGCAATCTAGCAGATGCAATAGGGCTGGGTTTCGCATCTTCAACAACATCCATCTTACTTGGAGAACTATCAATTTCGTACGAAGTAACATCTGAGCTACGCTTCGAATGCTGAATGTTCTCACTCGAAGATGCTTGTTTTAGTGGACCTGCTGATTTACCGTTTTGGATTTTACCCTTAATTGTCTGATAAGTAATATTTGCGCCCAAAGCGGCTGCGCCCAATGCGACAGCAAGGCCCGTTCCGACTTTCGATGCAGCATCAAGTAAATTTGACTTCAGCATTTTCGAATCTTGGTCTTTTACATGAGATCCTCCCGGCACATCTTTATTCAATACTATAGGAAACTCTGCGGCTGACAGCCACTTCCCTTCTTTCATTTCACGTTCACTTGGAGTAATTTCTACAATCTCATTCTCTCCAGGAAGTTCCGATATCCCGGACGATGTTGCTAAACCAGAATCTCCCACAGAAGAAGGTAGATTGGATCGATTATCATCACCAAGAAGAGATAAATGAATTAAATAGGGTACGTTTACAGGATCACCGTTATTTATTACTGAATTTAGTGTTGATGTGCTGTTAGTAGCTGGATCTCTAATCACTGTTTTCTCACCATCAATCAGACCAATTTCGATAGCCTCTTTAATAAGTAGACGGTGTCCAGTAAAAGGGTCGTTTACAAAACCAGTCTGAGGGTCTAGATAACCAAGTTGAACTGCTGTCTTTAAGTCTACAGGTAACTTGACTGTCGCAGATACTTTTGAGTCGGTACAAGGTGGAATTGTTACATGAAGCGCAGAACGGTTTCGTTTTCCCTCGTCGACAATATCCTCTTGTAATTCAACACACATAGACCGATTAAACAGGAGTTCGGTTATGACATTTTCAGGATTAGTTGGTAGTAAAATATCCACCGGAATATACTCCTGTGTAGTTCTGAAGTGTATCACAGTTCTGTGGTAACACAAGGGTCCATCATTAAATGCATTCAGAATGGATACATATGTTTGTGTGTGGGGATTGAGAACAGTTCTGCTCTGTTGATTAATAAGGTGTAGAGCATGAGCTGAAGCGTATGGTATCCTGCGTCCGATACTCAATTGTCTGCGCCCAAACGGTTCCACGTCCTTGGGAGACAATAGTGTTGCCATCGGCCATTCAATCCACTTTTCCATAGGAATTGTTCCTTCATTTAGGTAACTCAGCAGGCTACGATAATGACCAGTTCGTTCATCTTGAATTAGGGAGTTTTCACCATCTATTGTTGACAATTCAATAGCCTCCTCAAGAGTTATTTTCTGATTAGTGGCGGTCAATGCCATTCCGGTAGATGGATCAAACTTTCCACATTGAATAGCTCTAGCTAGACTTAGTCTCTCGCATTGAGGCTTTTCTTCAGGGGGCTTCTCATCAGTATTCTTTTTCTTTGGTTTTAGAATGATTTTCACTGTGCCTAGTTTCTTGTCTCCTTTGCCAGATTTAGGACCGATCACAGAACGAAGGCGAGTATAGTCATCAGGTGATAGCGTCTCCCTAACATCACCGCCTACTGGACCCGCATTGCTAGTCATTAAAATCTTCAGCAGCTCATTTTTCCAACTCGCTTCTGATATGTGGCTGTCACGATTTGCAATCGCATTCGCTTCATTCAATACCGTTGCTAAAGTATAATGCTGGCTTTCAGACATGTCTGAATCTCTTCCATTACCAATGCGAACCACGATTGAGTTAGGATCCAAGATTCTCTGTTCCACAGCTTCAAGAAGATTCACCTGAGAGACAGCTCCAGTAGAACTTTTCAATCGACCTGTTCGAGGGTCTATCCAACCACGTCTTAGAGCAGTAGCGAGACATAATTGTTGAGGAGAATCAAGTTGGCGACGAGATGTCTCGAGGATGGGGAGATTTTGCGGGACAAGACGTCGAACTAGAGGTAGTTTTATTGCCGAAATCGCAGTACCATCGGTCATCGAAACTGGTGCGAGGTTGCCCAATAAGTGGAGATCTAGTTGTCTCTTCTTTGGTTGTTTTACAGTGATCTAAGATAGTAAGAAAATGCATATTAGACTTATTTCATTAACGTTAAATTATTGGCTTATAAATGCCTGGGTAGATAATATTAATTTTAGGCGACATTCAATGATTACTAATGTGTCATACATTTTTGCTAAGCTCTTTCTTGGATTTTTGTACATTGCCTGTTAAGAGTGTACTTTAATTTTGAAAAAAAGTAAGAATATTTTATGACAAGAATAGAATTATATTGATTATCATCACCTAAGTGAGGCACAGAGCATTTATAACCTTTAAATTTGAATATTGGAACGTGAACTGATTCAGTTAGTAAATTGAAATAATCAGTGGTGAAGCTTAAATTGAGCGAGACTCCTCGTTAACTTGACGTACTTCTTTAAACGCCTTTCAGTTGCTATTCAACGTCAGCTACTTCCCACAATAATAATTTTTGAATTTTTCTGTATTTGCTTTCTGAGAAACAGAGATGTATTACTTTAATACTTTCCCAATAAATATGAATTTTAAATATTTTTTGCATCGAAGTAATCTCATTTAAATTAATGGCAAATTTTAGCAAATATGGGGGCATAAAGTTTAGGCTAGGCAAATTCATGAGGTCAGACACAATTCTCTGGCTAACAATTTCATTAGCTCCTCATTTCACCTAAATCAAAAGTACACAACTGGGATGACTCATATTCTATTTTGATTGGCCATTTAATAGCTCACCTGAGGTCGCTTATTACCATGCACCCTTGGCTTCCGCTTGCTGGTCAAACTTCGACTGACCGTTCCTTTCCAACTGCGCTTCACCACATTCTGTTATAATTTAATGACATTGTTTGAAATGATTGGGTAAAATATCTCCTTAAACCATTTTCATTGATTTAAATAGCTTATGGAGTGTCAAAGTAATTCAATTATTAGTGCATTGAGAAGTACCTAGGTGAATCAGATATACGCATTGAGTGGTAATGTGTGCTAACATACGCTTAGAGCCTTAAAAAACTTCTCTCAGAAATCTTATTATGGACTTTCAATTCAAAGATTACTCCCAAAGTATTTAGTTACTCCATTTTTAAAAAGCAGTAATGCCAAGCGATTTTTTCTCCAAATTCAAGTGCTTACTTCTCACGAGATTTTAATCCCGTAACTTATTTTGAATTAATAAATTCTAAAGTTACATAATTCTTAATGAGTAGTAACTTTCCTAATTAGAGTGGAACAATGACGTTTTGTTGACTCACCTTTACATGGTCATATACTCCATTTTCATCAATTTGGTTTATTATATCCTCCTGTTCCTTGAAAGTGACATTTAACGGACGCACAGCTAAGTCAATTTCCACAGTTCTATAGTGAATGGAATCAAATGGTCTAGATATCAGGTTCTCACAGGGAGGTCTCAAATGATGAACAACGCGGATTAGCCCCTGCTGATGAGCATCTTCAAGTGTGATCGTTTCGGTAGTTCCGGTATGATGATACAACCCACGAATGGGATCAAGAAGTTTTGAGGTAATAGCTTCTTCAACAGGAACAATTGCCTTCGCATTAACATCATAGACTCCTTCTAGAAGGTAGACATCATGTCTCTTGTGGAATATCTCCAACCAATACGTCGTTTCACCAGTCTGCTTGACAAAGGATTTTGTGAAGATAAGTCCGACAATCACGCTCTTTCCCAATGCTTCCCCAACGTTTATCATAGCTCCAGAGTCCGAATCATAAACACGGTTATTATGAACGTCAACTAAGCCCTCTCGAATCATAGCTCGTGTAATAGCTGTCTCAACTCGCAGTGACTGATTTGGAGAAGTTAGGTAGAATCCCGACACGACGCAATACCGATTTAGTTTTCTCTTCAATGGCCTGCGCTTAGCCTGGAGTTCTTCAGAGTTGAGAGAAGGTGAGGCCTTCCTACGTCTGTGACGACTAGAACCAGTTATAGTGAAGATATCGCCGAGATCCCCCGTGGTACAACATGGTGGTGAAAGGAGTGTTCGCATGCTTTCCATTGTGCGGTGGGTCGTTCCGGTAGCGTAGGTGCTCTGATGTTCCTCTTTACAGGGCTACAATGATTGTATGTGAATAAAATAAGCTTTTTAAGACCAGTAAAAATTTTAAAATGAGATAACTCACTATGTTAACGATCATTGCTAAATTATCATCAATCCTGCTTTTAAGGGCATTGAATTGGGTGTTTAGATTTGCTATTGACGATTCCAGGGAGACAAGATCGATTATCCCATTTATTGATGGATCTGCAAATCTGGTATTGGCAGGCTCCATGTTGACAAAAGGAAAACCGCTGACAGAACGATGGTATTTATCACCACGATTAGCTGATTCCTGCAAGGAAAGATGAATTTGAAGAATAATAGTAAATAAAAATAATGATCATCATCATATCTCTAAATATGAAGAAATTTCATTCAAGAATAAATTTAGCTGCTGTTGAAAAGTAGAAAATTGGTACGAAAACAACTTCATAGACTACTTACTTAGACCATTAATGCAACGTAAACCAATTATTTAATATTTACATCAAAATGTGAGCAGGACAGATAGCTGCAAAGTATACAATATCTCATGCACTGGAGAGTGAGTGTAATGTGAGTATTCAGTTCAAAAGATTAAAGAATTTTAATATCACTAACCATGAAAAGTTGAAATCATTTAACCAGATCAGGGCTTCTCTAGGCATGAGACTAAATGTCAGTTCCATCAAATGTTATTCTTCATGCACGAAGATATGCTTTCTTGGTATTTCCTTAATCGGGCATCCATTAATGTATTTTTACTCTGTTTGAAGTAGACAAGGTTTGAAATATTGAGAAGAAGGGCCATCTCAATCGCCATAATTATGCAACTTCTAGCTGGCAATAGCTTTGATTTGTAAGGAGAACAATTCAAAGTAACCTATGTCCATTCTGCCTGAAAAAATATCATTCAGTTCATTTCATCGACAAGATTCTCAGTTGATGTCCTATTAATATTTGCGCTTTGGTCATAAAGACGTAAAGATATTGATTTTTCAATAAGAATAAGTAAGTTAAATAGAGTTTTGTCCATGAAATCTATTAATAATATTTAAATTTACTGATCTCCTCATCTTATCCCAAAATATTAATTTGTTTGTTTTTTCTGAAATCTAAGGCTGGATTATTCTTTAATGACAATTTACCACTTACCGGTTAATTACCATTTTAATATTTAAAAATAAAGATCAATGCTGTAGCACACTCTTCCAAAGCTTGAAATTATTAGAAATGCCAAGTAAATGGGACCAATTAGCAGTAAAAATTAACTTTGAAGTTAATTGTTAAAGACACCAGAGAATTGGAACTTACCTCAAGTAGGTTTATTAAATTCTTGAAAGTTTGATTGAGTTCCTTCAGCTTCTCTTCACTATGAACAGCCTCACTTGATGCTTTTTCAAGATTCCTTGCAGCAGTGCTTGTGGAAATATTTCTATGAGGATAGCTTTGGATGCTTTTCTCTGCGGATTCCACGACATCTGACGTATCCCGAAGCCATACCGTAAGACCCCGTCGAAGAGTTATCGTGTTCTTATACTGCTGGAAAATGTCGGCTAGCTCCTTGTTCCTGAAAGTTTATTAAGAGGAGTTAATTTGCTAAGCCTTCTTCTCGGGTACCTTATAAGTTTAGATGTTTAAAATGACGAGGAAACATGCCCTTATTTATTCAAGAGAAAGTTGATAGAAAACTGCTATTTGGGTAACTTGCGATGGAACTTACGACAACAATGTTAACCAATTTACAAAAGTAATTTACTTTATTTGGTGCATTTAGAATTAGAAATATTTAAATTAATAATTTTGAGGCCATTTAATCAGACAAACTAATAAAAAAATACCTTTTAACCGAAATGAATTATTTGAATTAGATTTTGATGCCAAAAAGGCTTGGTTTGGAAAGAAACAAGAAGTTCGTTTGGATATAAAGAGGGAAATTGGAATTAAGTGGAAGATAATTCTTGTTACGTTTATAAGCAATAACACATAGTTTAAATGAGTTTACGAAACTAAGCGAGTATCTCCTATAGTCTTAAATGAGCGATCTATTTAGCTCTTCGAGTCCTTCAATTGCACTTTATTCGTCATTCATGAAAGCGATAATTTTCTTTGTCTCGATAACTCATTTTATTATCTTACTAAATTAATAAGCATGCTAGCCTTTCATCTCAATTGAAAATGGGCTAGCGGCGTAATTACTAACATAAAAGAAATATGAAAACCTCCAACGAAATTTTGCGTACGAAATAACAATATTCAAGAAGGGTTGAGGCAATTTAACCCTTAAACTTCCAAATTCTTTTTGAGAAATGTATCCTGCCGCACTCACGCGTGTCTCACAGCAGACTGATACCGACGTCATAAGTTTTGGTGATATCAGACAAAGGATATAGACACATTGAACACGTTCCAAACGAAGATAGCGTCTTCTGCTACGAGTCTAGTACCAATGGAGCTCATTTTGAAAGATTAAAGTGCGATTCTAAGGGCGTTAAAGGGTTAATAATAATTTTTAAGCAATCATTCTACAAGAATGATCTGGGGTTATAGGGTGCTTACAGATATCGCAATTACTGTACCAGTGAAATAAAACAGTAGAAATTGATTCACGATCGACACTGGAATTAAATAAACTGACCAAAGACCTCAAAATATTGCGATATAAACTAACTATTGGTTATTACAAAGTGAATAGCATTCATTATGGGATTCTGTACAACTTAAAGATTCCAGAATCAAAAAAAGGTTCGACTCTTGGCATACAGGCGCTTATTCGTCACCATCTCTTATTCTTTCACTGAAAAAATGATTGTTTTGGTTTTTAATAATAATTTAAAAGCAATAGCGAAGGCCATCTGGTTAGAGCCTAATGTTTGTGATAAAGCCAACCTACATCAGATCAATTCGATCGACAAGATCTCCTAGTCTCTTGTTAACTGCGAAAATCGATTTCTCAAGAAGAGAGGTATTTGGTGGAGGTAGACGATGTTTATCGACATTGCTTCCTGTAGTAATTCCTTGCGTTGACAGTGCAGAAAGTTGATGAGGAAGTTGTTCCAAGAGTCGTCGCAGTTCACTCAACGAAAGTGTGACATTCTAGCAGAAAATTGATAGTTTATAGGTAAACTCCTTTGTAAAGACTGTGATAAGATTAAATCAGTATTTGAATTACTATTTTCAAGTTTTTGGAAGAGTTTAGAGTCTGTATTTAGGAATTCGCACTAACCGATACTTTTGTGATATTCATTTATCTACTTAATTTATTAACTAAACGCATGAAGTGATTTCTGCAAAACTATGTATTGGCCCCAGTTACGAGGATGAAACAAAAAGTTCTCAAACAATTTCTATAATTAATTTATTAGGCAAGTAATTACCTTCATTTCCTACATTAACTGAATTGCTGTCAATACACTTTTATAATCAATATTTCCACCAGTAACCCCCTCCCCCTTCCATGGTATTATTTGGGGGGGGGGGGGGGGGGGGGAGGGAGTAGCTAGCACTAGAGAATCACATGCTTTTCACTTCATCTAAAGATGTAAATCGGGGGTCTTTAAGGTGATATTCCAGGTTTTGAAAGAAGAAGTCTGAGAAATCTAGGCTAGGACTATAGAGAAGATGCGAAAGTGTTTCATATTTTCTTTCATGCCTGATTTAAGACTGATGAACGGGTTTCTCTACCCTCATTAATGGCCACCAAGCGATCACCACGAATGCCCAAATGAGGGTGGATAGATGAGGCGAAAATTATTTTAATTAGAAAAATTTAAAATATTGAAATTTCTCATCGAGACTCCAAGGTATCCTCTCAATAAAGGCAACTAAAATGATAGTTTATCATTTCAGAGAATTTAGAAAGAAAACTTTACAAAATGATTCATCAATGGAAGACGCATTAGAAATTAGTCGTCCTTGTACTTCTATATTCAATTAAATAAATATTATGCATGAGAATACTCTCTGGTATATTGATACTACCGTTTTGGTTCGTTTCCCACTATAATTTGATAGAGTCTCTGCTAACCTTGTTACAGTGGCTTCCCATAATTAAAGTTGCAAGGAATTTCTCGTACTTTTGTAGATCTGATGGAGTAATACATTTGTTTTAAATTTCTTTGAAAATGTCGCATTCCTGAAAGATTTTAAACTTTAAGCCCTTGCAATGTCCATAAATAATTTTGTTACATCAATAAAGCGAATTATCTATCGCGAGTCTGCACTCCACATTGTGATTTGAAGCGATGCGCAGACCCAGATCGGATCATCTACTGTGACCTCTGGTCATATTTTCTAGAAGGACAGGTATCCATAATCTTTCCTTAAAACAAACCTACTTTCAAGCACCTTGACCAACCCTTCCACTATTCTCCTCGTGGTTTTATGTACTTCTCAGTATATCGTGTTCATCGATATCTTGCCTTCTTTCCAGATTTTTTGTGCGCCAGAAATCGCAATAAACTATAGAGAATCTAAAGAGACTCCACTTTAGAGGCTTTGAAATACCAAACATATCATATAACAACCGGTTTTAGAGTGGAAATGTCAAACTAAAATTGAGTATCCAAATTTCAGAATGATCTGTATCACTAAAATCTTGCCTGTTATGATGACTGAAATGTATGATCGCACGTTTAACGGTTTGACCCGTTGTACACGATTTCTTCCACCCTCCGAATTTCCCTTTTAACTGACATAAGTAACTGACTTTGAGTTCAACAAATTTAGACGGAGATGCGAATAATACTCTTATAGCAAATGCTGATTTGCCTCCCCACCAATTCGTTGCCAACCAATCAGTATTATTAGCCAATAGTTTTACAGGCAAGGCTGTGGAGTTTTATTTGTTAAACTCAAGAAAAGTGAGATTAATTTTGGATATCCTATTACAAAAATGAATGAAACGACCACAAAATATAAAGACAATAATGTCTTGTACAACGGGGTGTGCGATAGACTTACCTTCACGTGGTGCACTGTGGGCAACGTATACTCATACGGCAAAAAAGTCTATAAATCGGCAGTTGACTTCGGACTTCAAACTACCATGACCCCATTGAATTTCATATTCAAATAATTCCTCAGTATTCATCTCATCTTTTTTCTACCTTTCTGTCCGTCTGTCTCTTTTACGTCT